TGTCAGTACGCTGACTTGAGTGATACATGGATTGCTGTTGATTGAAATAAATATGATGTGTGCCTTGCTGAGAATCCCCTCTGTAATGCTTATGAAATTCATAAGAAAATAGACGTCACTTTGAAAGTCTAGAAGTTTCACATCTGCTAAGCTAAGTAATTTAAAGCTGACTGGGCTTTCCAAAACTAATACACAATGTAACCATTGACAAGATATGGAGGATTTCCCACTGATATATGACAGGAGCAAAATACCTATACAAGTAGAGAAGGTTTGACCTATTTCTTCCCCATGATCATCATGAGGAATGTCAGATCACGAACGAAATACATGAATAAAGCTGAAGTGCTGATCAGGACACATTGGGGCTATAGCGAATGCAGTTTTAGGAGATTTAGAGACATGGGTGCAAGTAATATGCTGCAGTATAGCTCTTCCTGCAGCTTTAAGATAATACAGATATTCAAAGAGATCAGGGTTAGTGGCAAAAGCAAGGGCTCAGTAAAGTCTTTTTAACATGATATTTGTAACGGAGAGGGTATATGCACTCTTTGGACCGTTTCCTGTGCAGTAAGCAGCAGCAATTCTAATATTTTAACTGTAAGCGTTTGAAGGAATTTGAGCCACAGCAATGAGAACAAGGCCTAGAACAGAAGTTTTTCTCAACTTTGAAATTCCAGAGGGTCTGACAGATGCTTTATTTTTTCACCGAGTTGTCCCAAGGCACAGCGCTGCCGAAAGAGAAGCAATACCTCTTAGGCTCGTTCATTTTTCCCCCCAGCTTTTGTTTTCTTTATGGTAGAGTTAGGTACATTTGTTGGTTTCTGTCAACGTCGTTTAAAGAGAGTTCTTTATTTTGTAAGTGGTGGAAAAGAAACTTTTAAAGGACTCTGAAGTAAAGCCCCAAAGGACAGAGTATGACAGCCTATTGTGGTTGGTGCTTTGCTTAGTGACTTTAGTTTGTGATTTATGTGTTTGAAAGACAAAGTACATTTTGTTCATGAACAATGAGGCAAAATATAACTAAGGGATATATTTACTATTGTACAAATGTATTTCTTAAATTCCCAAACTGAAATATAGTTTACATTTTAAAACATTTGCTGCAATTGTCAGGCTTGCTAATTAAATTAAAACTCAATACGTCTTTTGGGGGAAATTAAACCTGAGTTTTCCAAAGAGATCTCACACATTTTTATCAGTGACTACATATCAGACATTTTAACATCCTACATCAATGGTAGTCCTAAAGAGACTTCACAGTAATGAGGAATAAGATGACTTTCCGCACCCACAACCATTTGGGTTCCAAGATGGATGACATAATGGTGGACCACCTTGGTCGAATGGAGTACAAGCAATCATCCAATCTTAAATGTGAGCAAAGCAAAAGGATATTAACAAGGACTTTTAGGATGACCAGGCCGGGCAGGAATGGTAACACGCAAAGGACAGAAGCAACTACTACTTATGAAAGCATCGATATTTGCTGGATATTAAATCTTGTCTTATATCTTTGGCAGAAGTACAATTTTCTTTGCAGCTGTCTCTTCTGTCTCAAATTATGTTTACTGTAAGTTAATATGGTCATTTATAATTGTACATGTACAGTAGTTGAAGGACTTTTTGGATGGAATACAGTTCGGTTTTGTTTTTGTTGAGTTTCTTTGTTTGTACAGAGGGATTTTTGGGGAATATTCACAGCAAACTGCTTGGTTTCCATATTCGACCCAGTGACAAAGAAAGGAGTGAAACAAGCTTGCAATTGGAACTTATGAAACCAGTATAATTGTTGTCTGAGACTGTAATATAACATCTGTGAACCAACATGCATAGTGAAGAAAGATCTAATTCACAGATATGCTTGTCAGACATGTTATCTTCTCACATCATGTTAACGTCATGCAGCATTATTGCAATGAAGAGTTTGTTTTAATACAGTTCATATTCAGTGTTTTTGGTTGCCAAAATTGCAGAACCTTCTCAAATCAAAATAAACTAAAGCATGCCCATACAATAATGTCTTTATTACAATAATGTTAAACTTGTGGAGTAAAAACATTCAAAGAGTGACTTCATGACCTGAACTCTTAGTGTTAGCAAGAGCAAACTGACAGTCTTACAAATAAATAACCCAGACTATTCCTCTGTGCTCATATTTCCCTCTTCCCTCTTACCATTAAACTGCTCAATTTAGTGAAACTTTTCCATGAAAAGTGCTTTTCACACGCCCACACGCCCACGCTTACACACACACACAGAAACGTACTTCTTGTTAAAATATTACCCTGACATAGAAAAGTTCATCCACTGGGCTCTTATATCCTTTGAGGATGGGACTGATGTTCAGTAAAGTTGCAAGCTGAACGTTTCAAGACCCATTTGCTTGTTATAGTTGCATCCTCAGATTATGTGTCATGCACTGATTCTCAGGTGGTATGACAAAACCCTTTTTTTTTGGTTTTCATTTTTAATACAACATCAAGTCTAATCATGATCTATATATTTTAGAAATTCATGGAAAACAATAAAATAGATCATAACATCTATTTTTGCCACATTTTGTATGTTGGAAAGAAGGTCTGACTGATTAATGTTTGCTTCCTTCTCCAGTTAAATGCTCACGTTAACATCTCAACCTAAATTCATGAATATTTGCTGTTGGACCATTCAATTTAGGGTTTATGGAGCTGATCTGTAATAGTGAAATTATTGCTCTCTTGTTTTTCCAAATTTGACTTTTCTCTGTAGTTTGGTATTTCATGATCTGTGGTTTCTTTTGTGCTTAAATTGCCCTCTTTGTTTCCATTGTCATTTTTAGTTCACCATTCTTTTGGTCCCATGTTTCTAGTCAGTTCAACTTTCAGTGGTTTTCTGTTTTGTACGTACATCCCTCCTGTATTGGTCATCTGCTTCACTCCCTTCATCTATGCTAACTGTCTTAACCTCTCACCTTTCACTAATCACCCTCGCCTGATTTTAAGCTCCTGGGTTGATCTCAGTCCTTGTCAGATCCTTGTCACCACATTTTGTTTTAGTCTGACATTAGCCAGAGGTTTTCAGGCTTAACTTTGCAGGGCTAAGCTGTACAGGAAAGTCCAGAAATGAGCTGTGCTGTTGTGCACTGTAAAAAATAATTCTGTTGTTTTTACAAAAAAAAAAAAAACTGACAGCTGTGGTTGCCAGAATAATTCTGTAGTGTGATTTGAAAAGGTTTATTTTGGTAATAAAACTGTTTTATCAAGTCATTTTATCAAACTTTTTCGATTGAATTATCATAATAATGCTGTTATTTTACACTTTTTTCCAGTAAGATTTAACCAGTTTTTGTTTGTTGTACATAAATCTTCATTTAGTCCTACTGAAAAAATACCTTTGAATAACAGATTAAAACTGTTAAAATACCAATATAAAACATTTTATCAATACTTTCTGTAAAATTGAAATTTGCTTTAAATTTTTTTTAGAATTTTTTTAGTACAACTTGGGATTTAAAAACATGTTTTTAAATCCCAAGTTGTACTCCACGGCAGGTGCCTGTCTTTGGGTCCCTCTATTCACCGCTTACAGCCCCACTGTGACAGTAATCACAACACAAGTCATTAATGGGGTTATTGACTGGCTAAAGGACAATGCAATCTGTGGTGCATGTTTTTACAACTTGCTCTGATCGCATCATGACCTATGAAGAGTGATCGGTAGTCTACGAGTTGTCCATGGTTGACCTACAGAGAAGACAAATGTCTCTATTCTAGAGGAAAATTACCAGTCAAGTATACTTTATTCAGTTTGCAGTGCGGTCTGGATTTAAATAATTAAGACATATCAGGTCAAGAGCTGTAGTATCCTCTTGTTGATCTGGAGAACTCTTGAAAGGTCTAAAGCCTCAAATCTGAAGTGTTTCTAATTACAAATGGTCCATTTAGCTGGCACCCCTTGTAGCACTCTACATAGAAAGTTCAAAAGTCAACACCCCACACAATACATGAATTGCACCACTAACCTGCGTGCTGAGGGAGTGAAAGCCTATCGTGTTTCTTTTTCCCTTTTCCCATCTTAGTTAATCTCAGGCTTGTTCCTCAGTCAATTGTTGAAATTAAGAGTTATTCCTAGCCCGACACCGCCAGCATTCATGCTTAATTACTTGACCATTTTACCTCACAGCTGCATCACTTACATTCAATTTCACTATAATTAATTAGAGGATAGTGCCTTGGGATATTTTAATCATGTTTGTCACAATACAAGCCCTGTGTGTTCCCCCTGAACTTCAAAAGGATCATCAGGCTTTACAAGAAAGTCCATGACTTCTTTTTAGAATGAAAACGACTTCTTTAAATGTTTCTGTGATTTGACATTTATGAATAAAGATAACCATTTTTACAAGTGTTTTTTTGGTGTGATGTTGATGAACTTCTCTGTTTCACAGTTGCTAAGGAACTGTCAAATGTTGTTTACAAGCAATTATGCTGTACTGTCATGACTCAGTTTTAGAGAAGGTGCCGTTTAATTGCTGCACATTTTGGTGATCCTATCTTTTTTTGTTTTTGACAAGCTCCAAATCTGAAGTGAGTTTGAAATTAAATATAATTACATGATTCAGGTATTTAGCAGACTCAGAGAAAAGTCACAAAGAACACGGGGAGAGGATATATGTACTATTATAGGTCTGTTATTAACGATAGTTTGTGCGAAGTTTGGAATTAAAGTGAATTACTCATTTAATTTAGAGTATGTAATTTTTTAAAACACCAACAAGAACAAAAAAAACGCACTGAAACTGTTTTAAATTCTCATGTTATGATTATTTCTTAAATAATATTATCCGGCTCCAAACATTCATGTATTAATTTAAGTGTAATAGTTTATTACGGATAGAGGTTTGACCAAATTTGACTGAATTAATAGAAATATTTAAACAGTAAATCAAAAACTGTGTTTAGAGAGTATGATTTAAGAAGAGGATTTTCCGATCCTCTTTTTTTTTTTTTTTTCTCCAGAAGGTACATGTGCTTGTATCAACTGCAAGTGTTAAAACAAATTGTATTGGGGAAATAATTGGACTGTTTAACATATTATTTCGAGGTTTGTAAGCGTAATAACACATAGAACTGTGGCAGCCAGTGCAGGTAGGACAGGTAAACAGACAATAAACAGTAACCTTCGACAGCCCAGGGAAGAAGTAAAGCAGAAAAGGGGTTATTGTATCAAATGCAAAGCTGTATACAAATGAGTAAGAAAACCCACTGTCTGAAGTCATTTGTGAGAAGTTTTTGGAATGTAAATCATACACCATATAGACATTATTTTTAAGGTAAATTGCTGTTAGAATGAATAACCGGAATAGGGACTGAACATTTTAACTTATGTACAGAAATATTGCAAGTAGTGAGATTTTGAATTTTTTGCCTGTGAAGGAGTCTGAGCTCTGTTTATCCATGTATTCCTTAAATTCTAAATATAATAACTGTTCACATAAGAGGCAACATTGTGTGTAATGACGGTAGAAATATCTATTTGTATAGACAATTTATGTGCAGTCAAACTACCTGAACTAACAACAACAATAGCTTTTTCTAAACTATCAACATTTGTTTTAGGAGCAATCCAAACCAGACTATTAAAGGAGTTTTTTTTCAGATGATCAGGGCTTCCACATTGGATTCTATCAACCTTTTTTTGCTGAGAGGATATGCACCACTGGGTCTTAAGGCTGTAACCAGAAACATACAGTTGAGTTAATCTTCATATCAAAAGGTCTTCAAAAATCATGCCTGGTCAACTTTGTGATAATAAAAGTCGCATGACTATTCTTATGCTGCTGTACATCAGGGTTGTCCGGTGCCAGTCCTCGAGGGTCCCTGTGAAACCCTGAGAAGTGTCCCTGTTTCAACACAAATTATTCAGATTAAATGGATTTATTCACACTGGGGTGAATTGGGTGTGTTGAAGCAGGCAACCGTCTAAAAGCTGCGGGACAAAGCCGAGGAGGACTGGAATTGGAAACCCTTGCTCTAATGATACTGAAACATCCCATAATTGTGCTGCTATAGACATGGAGAGCTGGAATGTACATACTTGTGTTTCTATTTCTCAGCAGGCATTCCGACTCTAATGTCATGGTGCTTGTTGTTCCCTCTTTGCTGTCCTCTCAAACAGCAGCATGAATTGGAAAAATTTGGAAATAAATAAAGGTGACGTGACTGGATTATCCTTGTATCATAATCAACTGAACGGGAATTGGACTTTATCCTGGAACTGTAATAAGACGACAATAGTCAGAATTTGGTTATTTAATACAACTAAGACTGACTACTCTTTAAGTTGTCATACATCAGAATTCAGCAGCCTTACCCGCTGACACAGCACCTGAATAATTGGCAGAATTGTGAACATCCACAAAGTGTCAGCTGTAAAATTAAACCTGGTTGTTAATTGGCCTACAGCTAGTGACATTTTTTTTAATCACCTGATATTAGTGGTTAAAATTAATGAATAGGAAATCAATCAGATTATTTTTTTCCTTTTACAACTGTTTATAATCTAACACAACAAAAAGTGAAATAATTAATAAATCTCAAATACAAATTCAGATGAATTCAGTATCCAGTTCTGATTTTTGAATACCTAGTTAGAACATCCACCTTTTGGGAAAAATAAGAATTTCTTCTAAAAAATGTTAGACCATGCATAAAGGAACTGAGTAACAAAAAACTATTACCTCACGTTCGACTACTCCTTAATATTGAATAAGAATACCAAAAGTGATTATTTTTTCCCATGCTACCATGTTTGTGAAATTTAATTTAAAAATGAACTGGAATTTGAGGCAAAGAAAGTGGAAGTAATTTCATTGAATACTTTTGTAAAGATTTAAAGGTAATAAAAAGAGAGGAAAAAAAATCTTCAAAACTTTTCTGAAAATATGATTTATATATTTTTTTTCATTAAAGCTTCTGTCCCTCTCTATCATCTAATGTAAGGAGAGTTACAACCGCAGACATGGGCAATTATGAAGCGAGTCAGTCAATGAGAAAAAAATAAACTGAGATGGAAAAGGAGGGACTTAAAATGGCAATGTGGCATGAGAGACCACTTGCCTGTAATCCTGAATGAATTTAAAGATTGAAATATACCTAAAAATGTGTTGTTAAAGGATTCATTTCATAGGCTACAGAAGATACATGACTGTTTTATTCAATTCTATTTTTGTAAAGATTTAAATTTGACACTTAAAAATCAACTATTGTCAATTATTTCTTTTTCTGATGTTATTGATTATGATTTTATGATTCTTCTGAAAAATAGAAAGCACTTCACACACGATACATCTGAACTTACCCACTCAATAACTATAAAAGTCAAGAACTTATAGCTTCAAAGCCAAGTTTCATCATGGACAGGTCACCACTCTATCTCAGGGTCAACATAGAGGGAAATAAACAGTGATCTTCCAGTATGCTTCTTGATACAAACAAGAGGAAATTTCGTAGCGAACAAAAGAAAGTCCATTGTAAAATTGGGAATATCCTGATTTAAATTGATATCTTAGTAGAGATGCAAATCAGGGCAGATATATTTTCCAATTACTTCATCTATTTAGTGAATATTTACAATGTTAAATAATCTAGAGTGAGATTTGTAAGTAAAAACACTTAAATCCATAAAACCTTGAAACAGATACTCACAAAAAGAAGAAAAGTAAAACATACCATGTGTCACCAACTGCCAACGTGTGCTCTTGTTTTCACACAATCAACATACAGACACCGGTGTGTTAACTGGTCCGTGGCCTAGTTCCTACAGTCCTCATATCACCATCAGTTGGGAGTAAAGCTAAATTCATTCAGACAGCAAGGAGACAACGACATGATCCATTATTTACACGATCAACCATTTCTTTAGTCTCTGACCCAGAAAGAATTAATTTGTCATTATTGCATTCTTGATTAGGTATAGTAGAAAGCCCACAAGGAAGGAATACAGAATTACATTTTTATTATTCTGAGGCGTATTACCAAATAATTTCAAGGAAAAAATGTTTAATTTAATACATTTTCCTAATTTTGTAGGGTTTCCAAATTTCTGGCAAATGTCTTCAGTTCCATAGGTAAAAAAGTGTATTTCTGTATTTTTTTCTGTCCATGTGGTCAGAAGTATTTTAGTGTGTATAGAGAAAGAAGCGCAGAGAATAAAGCTATAGCATGTTTTAAAATGCTAATCTACACATTAAAAAGATATATATAAACATGGATGACGCATAAACAATAGAGCAGTGATACATGGCTATCCATCCATTTTTTTAGGAAAAAAATGTTGTTGATGGCTAGAGGCTATTATATATATATATGTACAAAATGCAATTTATACATTTGGGAACACAAAATTTCAGTGTAAATTTTGAATATCTATTCCGAATTTTCTTTACTTTAAAATTTACATCTTAAATCGTATCAGACCAATATTTATCTGTTTTTTTGCTTTGTTGATTCATGACATTTTAAAAATACAAAGAAACTCTGTCAATGTTTTTTTTAATCAAATGGGACTAAAACAAACTAATTCAGATGGCCCTCACCATCACAATAGAACTATTTAAGTAAGATACCAAACCACTTTCAATTACTAACCTATTTTTTTCCCTACTATTGTCAGCGTTGAGCACACTGATCTGGCATTGAGCCACCAATAAAAACACCAACTGATTAAAAACAATTTAATTTGATAGCTTAGATGGTGCTTCCCAATTTTCAGACGAGCTATTTATCACAAAGCTAGACATACAAATGCTAAAAAACAATTTGACTCCAATTGTTGTAAGCGGTGGATCACGCTGCGAGACATGCTAAAGCTAATTTACCAGATGAATTAGTTGGCACGATCTGAACTTCTCTGGCGAAGTTATAAAATCCCGTATGACGAGGAAAGTGCTCCCACCGTACATTATAGTAATTGTTTCATCGGAACCCTACTGTTTGAGGCATTTTAAACACCCACCCCCCTGCCATTCCTTAAACTATGTTACTGTCAAATGGCTTGGCCCAAAATTTCAAATATTGCGAAGACAGTTCCTCCATTCCTTTTCACTCCTGGAGTCCTCGTTCCCTGCAATGCCAACACATGCCAAACTGGTTTCAGTCCAGTGTTTTTAGGCTAAAATGCTACATTAAATTAGGTTGCAACACAGGGTACAAGTTGGTTTTACAACAGAATTAGTCCTATTCAAAGGTACATGGCAAAACAATATACAGCTGGACAAAACAGACAAGTAATAAAATAATATCTAATAAAATGCACTTGCCAATAAGGAATAGTGTTTCTTAAACTGTTTAGGGTTAGAATATGTTTGTTCAAGGAAGAAAATACTTTTTTCTTCTTTTTTTTAGGAGTTTACATAGAGGCACTCCTACTATATCATGTAGGTCTTGTAATCTGTTGGTTTAAATTTCAGCAAAAGTACAGATTTCCAATATATTTAGCAGAACAAAGAAAAAAACAAAACCCCAGTGTGGCTACATTGGTTTTCTGTGAGTGTTGCAGTTTGTAAGCTTTATTTGTGATGATAAATTGCTCCTCAGTTCAAACATCCCATTTTCACCACTCATGGTCAATGTCTGGTGTACCATAAGAAGACTGTTAAGTTTATGACCTCCTAAGACAACTCACTTGTAAACGTCTTTTACATGGCCACTAATCATCTGGATAGATGTTCAAAATGCAGGGTACTCCAACTGGATAACTTTTCACTTCGAAGGACACTTCCCAGCTCGTTGACCTAAATTCTTGGGTATAGATTGCTATGGTACCGTTATAAGTAATGTCAAATCTTGCTACTGTTAAATGTTGTATTTCAAATTGTTGTTACAAAAGTTGTATTACATTATTGCAGTAACGTAAAACAAATAACGGTCTTTAAATCATTCATCACTGTAATCAGTTGTGGTGCCAATGGTTACCATTGGCAGGAATGACCTAGTGTAATGCTCTTTGTAGCAGCATAGATTAAGAAGCAGCAAATATGCAAGACA